TTTGCTTGATCGTGAGCAGCGACCGAAGTTCTGAACTACGCTCCCCTCTCCCCATTGACATTCGCCTAGTTGGTGTGCAGTGCCCATACGCATCAACCTGTGTTGGTGTGTGACAATTGGAAAATCGGACTTCCGAATCGTAATTGTGTATCAATCATTTTGTGAGTGAATTGCGATGCGCAATCTCAATGTGCACCGTTATTCTCATTAGAGAGAACCTTGTCCGATTCGGTCAATGGGACCATGTCGGATGAAGCAGGTAGGCGGTGTCCCAGCTTCGCCCGTCTCTCTATTAGCTTTCGCACCTGCCACGTTATTGTATCAGCGTAGGCTGTAATGACCCCCAGCAAAACCAGTCTAGAGCTATAGCCTATTGTTGCAACATATCAACTACTGAGAAGTGGGCCGATTACACGATGTTCAGGCCACATTGTGGTCACGGTAATGTAACCGAACTGCGTACGTAGCGGGTGATTGTGTAAGCCCTTCTCTTGACATGAGTGCCGTTCGCCTCGGTCAGAATCGGTGACCTATTTTCCCCTACAACCCCCTCCATAGGAATTCGTGTGCTTTGTCTGGGTGTGTGGACCGACCTATGCATCGGTACCACTATTGGAGCCGAGCATACGATAATGGTTCCACTCAACCCAACTTAGCTTTATTAGCTCCGTGCCGCACGAAACGACCAAAATGAGTGACGAACAACAGCAGAGCTGGTGTCCGACGCGACTGCACTGCAGGCGAACATCATTTGCGCAAAGAGAAATTCTCACAAAACTTGTGCTGGTCGACGGCAAAACTACTCGGGAAGCCGCCGGTGTTAACGCGAGTACGGCAAGGAACACCATTAATGCCTACAAGCGAGAAGGCTCAAATACACAGCGCACCTGCGGTGGAAACAATAGGGAGAAACTGACTCCCAATGTATTGCAGTGTGTCGAAGAAGCGGTTGAACGGCACTCTGAGGACACGTTGGTGCAGCTGCAGATGCGCCTGAGAGAGGATGGGATAAACCTATCAGTATCCTCTGTCTTCAACGCCCTCAGAAGACTAAAGATAACTCTCAAAAAGTGTCATTACGAGCTCGACCGAGTCAACAGTGCCACGACAATCGCTAGCCGACAGGCGTACGCTCTCGAGTTCTCGGCACATGCACCTTGTAACAAGGAGAAATGCATCTTCATAGATGAGAGTGGTTTCAACCTTCATCTGAGGCGAACTCAGGCTCGCTCAAGAAGAGGGACGCGCGCGAACGTCGTGTTACCCACAGTCAAAGGTCGCATGGTAACCTTGATTGTTGCAATGAGTAACCAAGGCGTCATCCATTCAAAGATCATTAACGATGGCACCTGCAATGGTGCGAAGTTCTCAGCGTTCGTCGAGGAACTGGTGACGCGTATAAGCTGCATAGTGGAGATGAACGGCGCGTGGCTGATCATGGACAATGCCAGGATCCATATGCCTGATGAGCTAAGGAGGATCCTTGGTTCGTCTTATCACCTGCAGTTCTTGCCGCCCTACTCGTACATGCTAAACCCGGTAGAACACGTCTTTTCAAATGTGAAAGCGTCGGCGAGACGCCTGCTTATTAACCCCACACCTGAGCAGACGCTGAGCACGGTCATTCAGGACAGCGTTGGGATGGTAACGCAGCAGGGCTGCATGAACTGCGTTCTCAATACAATGATGAACCTGACGAAAGCGACAGCCGGACAACCCTTCGTCAACTGATCTTTGCTATGGTTACTGCCTTATTTTTTGTTAATACACCATTTCAATTTCAAAATGTGCGTTTTCAATATTAACAGTTGGCTTAGCATGTAAGAGCAGGACGGTCACCGAGAATTCGAGAACGTACGCCTGTCGGCTAGCGATTGTCGTGGCACTGTTGACTCGGTCGAGCTCGTAATGACACTTTTTGAGAGTTATCTTTAGTCTTCTGAGGGCGTTGAAGACAGAGGATACTGATAAGTTTATCCCATCCTCTCTCAGGCGCATCTGCAGCTGCACCAACGTGTCCTCAGAGTGCCGTTCAACCGCTTCTTCGACACGCTGCAATACATTGGGAGTCAGTTTCTCCCTATTGTTTCCACCGCAGGTGCGCTGTGTATTTGAGCCTTCTCGCTTGTAGGCATTAATGGTGTTCCTTGCCGTACTCGCGTTAACACCGGCGACTTCAGCGGCTTCCCGAGTAGTTTTGCCGTCGACCAGCACAAGTTTTGTGAGAATTTCTCTTTGCGCAAATGATGTTCGCCTGCAGTGCAGTCGCGTCGGACACCAGCTCTCCTGTTGTTCGTCACTCATTTTGGTCGTTTCGCGCGACACGGAGCTAATAAAGCTAAGTTGGGTTGAGTGGAACCATTATCGTATGCTCGGCTCCAATAGTGGTACCGATGCATAGGTCGGTCCACACACCCAGACAAAGCACACGAATTCCTATGGAGGGGGTTGTAGGGGAAAATAGGTCACCGATTCTGACCGAGGCGAACGGCACTCATGTCAAGAGAAGGGCTTACACAATCACCCGCTACGTACGCAGTTCGGTTACATTACCGTGACCACAATGTGGCCTGAACATCGTGTAATCGGCCCACTCCTCAGTAGTTGATATGTTGCAACAATAGGCTATAGCTCTAGACTGGTTTTGCTGGGGGTCATTACAGCCTACGCTGATACAATAACGTGGCAGGTGCGAAAGCTAATAGAGAGACGGGCGAAGCTGGGACACCGCCTACCTGCTTCATCCGACATGGTCCCATTGACCGAATCGGACAAGGTTCTCTCTAATGAGAATAACGGTGCACATTGAGATTGCGCATCGCAATTCACTCACAAAATGATTGATACACAATTACGATTCGGAAGTCCGATTTTCCAATTGTCACACACCAACACAGGTTGATGCGTATGGGCACTGCACACCAACTAGGCGAATGTCAATGGGGAGAGGGGAGCGTAGTTCAGAACTTCGGTCGCTGCTCACGATCAAGCAAATGTTTTACAGTGTAGCCCGCTGCTTACACAATGCCGGTGTATTAGCGTCATCACAATGTATATGCTGAACATCATTCAGCAGTCTTACTGCTCGTTTCTTACCAACAAATTGGCCAGTTGCTACTTGGATTGCAACGTGTCCAATTTGTTTTGCAAACTGTCCAGATTGGTTTGCAAAATGTCCAGTTTGGTTTGCAAAATGTCCAATGTGGTTTGCAAAATGTCCACTTTGGTTTGCAAAATGTCCAGTTTGGTTTGAAAAATGTCTAGTTTAAAGTGAAAATGGTATAACATTTTAAATTCAAAGAGTCACTTAAGCAAAGTATCTGATCGATAATGCTATGGGATTTGTCTGGTTGATGTGAAGTCAGAATGGTGTGACCGTCACTGTTACTTATGTTATCCTGAGGCCAAGGTAGTGAGAGAGTTTGGACGAGTTATTTCTGTGCACATAGGCCAGAGTTATAGAGTCGGAGTGCACTCGCCTTTGCTGTCGACAGCAGGCGGCATCTGACCGCTCGTGTGTGACGCCTGGGTATACAGTAGATTGGTACGAATGCGTCATGCGAATTAATTTGGTGATCGGAGTCTACAAGGTGCGACAACACTGCACTCGTTACATCCTTCCTCACCCTGCTGTAGAGCCAAGCTGAGTAGTGCTCTCGAGCTCTAACGGACATTCGCCTGGTCGTTTTCCAATATACCTTACTCGAAACGAGCAAGAAGGAAATCTGCGACCGAGGTATCCCGTCCTTGAGTTTCTAGCGCACAATCAATGTTGTGGTGAAACTTGAGCGCAGACCGGCGGCAAAACACGTTCTCACTGTTGCTATGGATAGTCTTCGAGTTGTCCGTTCCGCTATCACGCCACCCTTAAACAATAACGTTAAGTATATTAGCCACTTCTCCGTGGAAACGGGTTTGATCTTTGGCACTCGCGGTTTAATGTGCCTCTGGATGAATTTGGGGGAGCATCCATTACGCTCGAACAAGCTTCGGATAAAGCTCAGCTCATCTGAAAGCGTATCCTTCTCGCTCTTCGTCAGACAACGGACGAGATTTCGCTTCTGACTTATCGGGAAAACCTAAAGAGGTGGACATATTGTCCATAACAAGTTTCCTTTCTGTTTACCCTCCTCCGCATTGACCCGTTTGATGCCCTATTGATTTGGACATCTAAAAATGCCAACGGGTCATTGCGCTATATAGTGAAAGTTGTGTTACTATGTCCAGAGCTAAAATGGGCCACTGTATCATCCACGCACATTCCTTTATCCGTGATACAAAATATGTCGTCCACCTATCGATCATAATACACAAGCTGTTGATAGATTCATTCAGTTGGTGGGTCTCCAATTTGCTCATGAAGACATTGGCAAACAACGGCCCAAGGAGTGAACCCATGGTCACCTCGTCTAGCGCTCCGTAAGACTGAAGCTTGATGTTTCTCGTACACAACGGTAGCAGTTGTCTCAAACAGTTTGGTGAGATACCGATGTCGATGTTGCGCAATTGGATGAACCCGCATGTCTAGTCTTCTCCAATGGAACACTGGTGAAAAGAGAACACATCTAAGGAGAACATCTTCCGCCCCGCTAGTTCGAGTTGCTCTTGTGAGTCAAGAAAATCAAACGTTCTTGAGGCTGTGGTTTTTCTGACTGGTTCCAGCCGTATGATGAGTCCTAGCGGTAGCCCTTCCTTGTGTACTTTGGACAGGCCATAATGTCTTGCTTCAGCGACTCACCTCGTTTAAACCTCTTGTACTCATTCTTGCCTGCTTTGTAGTGGTTGTATTAGCCTGATGATGAAACTCTGAAAATAAGCTTGTTCGCTACTTTTCTTTCCGATGTCTTCTCCGGGAATTATCTTTCACTTGAGACAATGAAAACAAAAAGGTGACTCGCATGTTTAGCAATTTTACCAAATTAAAGAAGCACTTCAAAAATCACATCTTAATCCGATGAGACGTAGGCATATGTACAACAGTGTGTCAGGCTGTGGGCTATTCACCGCGCTACCTGTTCCTTTTCTTGCAGTTTCATGATATCCTGTCGCCATTGCTTCATCCTGGACCACCTTCGTTCTTTAAGGGTTCGTGGAGCCAACCAAGCACTTTCAAGGACCTCCTCGGAGTGTTTGAAGTAGGCGAGACGCTCTTCTTCATCTAACAATTCACGTAAACAGTTTTTAGACTCAGTAAGAGTACGACTCTTTCTAGAGGTGCTCAAATAGGCCTTCCAAACTCGATCTCGGTCTTGTTCGAATCGCATGTACATCTGCTTCACAAGCTCTGTTTCATTTTCCATCACCTGCTTGTTGCCGAGCACACCGTCGTGCACGAATTTGTTACATAGAGTGAAGAAGCAATAGTTCAACGGTTCCGCAAACTTCAAGATTCTCTGTAATGTAGATGGACTGTTAGTAATAAGAAAAACGGAACTTACCTCTGCCTCGCTCATAGCAGTATCAATCTCCGTCCGGGTAGGGAGTACAGGTTCTCGGTACCCTGGTGAGGAGTCGTCCGTTCTCGATTTCGCGGAGCCAATAATATTGATAAGATTCTCGAACTAAAATGCGGTTGAACTGTTAACGTTGGTTAGATAAATGTTTCAAGTGTCGGTGTGTACGGTTTGCAAAATGAAACCTGCAAAGGGCCACTTAAGTTCGTGGCGAGTTGGCATGTCCTATCGGCTATTGATTTCATCCACTGAGTCAAGGAATTTCACATTAAATTTAATCGATTAACCCACCACTTGAGATACAATTCCTCTAGACCTGTGATTCTGTATGGCTTTTACTACGTAGACAGTTCAGAGCGAAAGCATCGTTTCTCCTTGGTACCGAACATTTGTCAAAATGATACAGCAAGTTGTGACGCTGCCAACATCAATTCAATTTAAGTTCTACTCGGTTTTGTTTTTGGTGGCAGAAAGCAACATTTTAGAAATGAGAATGTTAGGGCGTTACGAAGATAAGATAGGATAACTACAGATTACTGAAGATGCGTGTTGACGGTGATGGTAAGTTCTATAACGGATTTGTGCTAGTCCATGTTGCAGGTCAGGTTAGCTGCAAAAATAATCGACTCACCACCGCTGAACTCAAGCCACAAAGTCGCAATTGATCACACGTGGTGATATTCTGCAGATTCGTGCGTAAGTCAGTCAACTGATCCGAGCAAGCGAGGCCAAACAAATGAAGACCTCGTGGAAGCACTGTTTTCGCTCTCTCGATAGTCTCGTGTGAGCCCGGCGTCTGCTGCGATGGTGGTGAAAAAGCCACCAATGCTTGAGCCAATTGAAGTAAAAGAAAACCAAGCCACAAGCGAGGACGATCCACGTCGAATCGTCCATCATAGTTGGCATTCCGTACGTATCGTACAAATTTATACTCCACCTGCGAAGTGGAAGATGGGGAAAAGCAGATAAAATGTGCAAAACTGATGCGGTATTGCGAATCACACGTTGACGCAAACGAGTAAGGCTAAATAATTCAAATTGCATCGCAAATATGCTGATTTTCAAATCTAAGTACCCAATTAGTGGCTCGGGCCCACCGAAAAGTAGTGTATTCCATCGTCAAAACTAAAACAGACCATAAACAGTACTAAAGCAAACAAGAAAACAAATCCCGATAAAATCCTGTGGATGCTCCAGAAAAAGTGACACATTGAAAATATAAAAACAGAAATGATAAACAGATGAGTGCGAGTATCACTGACTTGTCGACTAAGCCGTATTGACTAAGGTGGCTGATTACTTGCGGTCGATCCTGGATCCCATGTTCAGAAAATCGGGATTTATCGATCTGAGCAGATCTGAGTCAATTTTTAAAACCTTTTCGAGAGCATACATTTGGCGCTTCGTGTCTTCGCATAACTGGTTGCAACAACGGCAAACAATGCGAGACAAAGTAAACAGCCAGTGGGCGTAAGATGGATTTGACCCAGCCAACGCAAGCCGTGCGAGCTCAACGGGCTCTAGCGTTACATAAGAAAGACTATTTCCAAGCGCGATGCTCGCTAAGTACGAACAATACTCCGCAAACACCTTACTGAAAATAATGGGTTTCTTCTACGACGCACAGCAAGCACAAAACCAAGTTCGCGTCCAGTTTTTTTCATACGTTGGCATAGATCTGTTCATTTGGTCCTGTTAGTTCTATTGCCTTCAGGCCTTTGACGAAATTTTGTTTGTAGAGCATCCCTTGTGTGGGCTGACACTACCCAACTGCCAGTTCAAATATCATAGTACGTGTAGGGGAAATGGATGCGCAAGCAGGTCGCCTGGGCTCTTCAGAAGTTAAGCTAGCCTTTTGATGTCTCCATGTAGCTTGGAAGTAATTGACCAAAATAGATCACATTGCCGTAAGCTACAAGTGGCGTGATTCCATCTTAAACTACCGTTCGTTCTGCTGTACTTGCGTCGACTCTGATCATGCCTTGGTACATTGTCGTTTCTACATGAGCTTAAGCTGGAGGCGCACCATGCGTCTCCCACGATGGCAACTGAGAAATTATCCCAGTCCTCTGTCAGGCAAGACTCATAGGATGCATTGTGTACAGGACTTCATTCTCTTGTCCTAATGACAACCTACAGTGGAATAGGATCTCGGTCGCCATTCACGACGCAAAATCATCCGCTCGTGGCAATATCAATCGTCACCGCATCAGTCACTGGATATTCGAGAATTCGGTGAACCTATTGGAATCCAGAAGAAAACCCGGCTGGCTCTGACCACAATGTAAACAGACGGACTGTTAGGCGCGAATTAAAACGGAGCCTGTGTGCTGACAAGGAAGGCTGTTGGACCAGTCGGCACAAGAAATGGAGGAGGCGGGAGCAGTAGGCAATTACCGCAAGCTCTTTCAGATGCTCCGCACCGCTGGTCCCAGAAACCTAGGCATCAGGCTAGACAATCAAAGACAGCGCGCGTACCCTGATTCACAATAAGGAGCGCCGTATGACCTGTTAGGCGGAGCACTTCGAGAGCAGTTCACTCGTCACTTTGCTCCAGGACCTCTTACTACTCGGGTGATACTGGATGAGCCATGGACAGTTGGATTAAAATTTCCACCGGAGGCTGATATCCGAAAGATGATCATAGCTCTCAATCATTTTCGTGCTGCTGGCCCGGATTCCCTCCCACCTGCACTATTTAAGGATGGAGGTGAGGTTCTCCACAGAGCACTGACCTCCCTGTTCGAGGTCTGAAAGGAAGAGACCATCCCGGTTAACTGGAGTGAATCAATTACAGTGGCAGTATACAAGAAGGGCAGTCGCACGGACTGTGCTAATCACAGGGGCATTAGCATAACACTGGTGGTGACAAATGTACTGGCCTCAATTCCCGTCTATCTCCCCACTGCGGAACCTGAATCTCGGAATAGAGAACATCAAGCACGTTTCCGCCCAGGACGTAGCTGTATAGACGATGTCGCCACACGACAGGTCGCGTCAGGATCTACAGTGACTTATCGAATGCCTTTCCGACAACAAGTGGCGTTCTTCAGGGTTGTCCGATTTCCACATTTTTGTTTCCTTTCGTCGTGGACGCCTTCATGGAGTGTATCCTCGCGGAGCCTCACGATGCAGGTGTTTAGGTGCTCCTTGACAAAACTCTAGCTTGCTTATGCGGATCATGTCTTCCTGTTGCTTAACGATATTGGGGCGGCGCATTCAACTCTGAATAGTCTCTCTGATGATCCCACTATTTTGTATGCGCTTCGCACCTTCAAAGTGCTGTTGTAGGACCATTGACCCTTGCTAGCTAAGTCCTTGAGGTAGCTGATCAATTTACTTACATGCTTCATGTGGCGTTGGTTTTTTCTCCTTGGAGTACTGTTCGTTACGCTATCTAATGCGTCTATATCCATTTTGTTGTGTTGTTCTCGGAATTTTGTCTATCTGAACCATTCTAAGGCCATGTATGATTTCCTACTCTGCTAAATTTATGAAATCGTTTCGAAGCGCCGCGCGAAGTACATCTTATGCAGAATACGGTAAAAAGGCCAGAAAGACCATCCAACAAATTTACAAAAATATTTTGGTAAAATAAGTAAACATTGCGCTAGTTGGTAAGCTAGCTTCAGACACTGTCCTATAAATAGAGAAAAAATCTCGCTGATTCTCTCCAGAAATGTGCGTTGTCTCCTCGGTAAAATGGCTCACCTTAGTACCACTACGATGAGTAAGGACTATGCAAATATGGGTGTTGCGATGCTACAAAAAAGTTGACTCCATCCTGACGTTGAGGACAAAGTTATCCAACTCAGTGACTATCGTGACATAAGCATAATTGTGAAGGAGTTGTCATCACTTACATCAACCATCTCTGATGCAAATCAGTAGCCTTGTTGTTTGCATAATCATAATCGAAGGTCAGCTACCAATTAACTGAATGTAAAACAAAGCTAATGAGCGGATTTCGTTTTGTATTCATTGGAAATGTCTATATAGTTGTTCGCATACCACCGTCTGAATTGAATAATTTTGCCATTTTCCCCAGCGTTACTGCCTAGAATTAAGAGCTACCTCTGTATCGTTGTTCGTGATTCCAACGAAAGTTGCATCGCATTCATCAAATCTCTTTTTTTAACAAATACGGTGAACTTCGAAACCATACTGAACGAACAGTTAGATCTTGCCTTCACAAATAAAAAACAGTTGTTTTCTAAACTAAAAGCAATGCATTCTGAAGATGTGCCCATTCATGCACTGCAACTTTGTCTAGCTGAAAAAATCCTTGCAAAACGTCAGGAAACGAGAGCGCACGACAGAAAATATCACGAAAGTTCAAGCGACGTTACCTTCAACTGAATATACAGTGATCAAAAAACAAAACTAAACCTGGTAGTGAGACGTCACAACGCAACACATAAAATTCTGCTTTAATTTCCACATCACGGTGAGACATACGGATAGATAGATATCCTCCGCCGCAAATAAGGAAAGAAATAAAAACATAAAAAAAACAACCTCAGACAATCAAATCTCAAAAAGGTTGCAACGCTTAAGAAATTGAGACCTGGAGTCAAGAAGAGTTACATCTCCCAGGGAAAATCGTTACCCCAATGGAAAACAACCCAACCCGATCGAATCTAAACATCCTCGGAACCGACTGGATCGAGAGGTTAGGACTTTTTGATGTCCCGTCACATCAGATTTCCCGAAGCCTCAAGCAACGGAGTGTCTCCAACAGAAGCGAGGAGTAAACAGCTCCACAAGCCATCCAATACACTTCGACCAGCTCCTGAGTCCTCACACGGCGGAAGAAATCAAAAATGAAGCAGAAATTCAATCGGCGATATGGAGCAATGCTACGTCTATTCAAGTCCAGAGATTTAGTGATCACACACCACTATCAGAAAGTACATGCAGCATGGACTCCAGGTGAAATCAAACGTAAACATGGAAACGTCATCTACGATGTGCTCATTGGATTGCATTCCTGGGTCCACCATGCAAATCAGTTACGCCCAACACTGTGCCGACCCGAATCGAGGGGACCAGCCAAGCTACCTTTCGACCGCCTTATGGATCACTTCAACTTAGCGAAACCAGACAGTGAGATTCACAATCAATCAAGCGATGCATCCGATAGTCCACAGCTTTTGGTAAACGCAATGGGATTAGGAGCCGATGGGTTCCTGTTCTTTGACTGAAAGTAACTACAAATTCTGGGTTCTGTTAATGACGACCACGTCAGCGGCGTAGTATGTTCTCAGGATGGCAGAGTATAAACGCTTGGTTGTCTTTACTGTGGCGGCGTTGTCTTTGAGTGCAAGTTCAATGTAAAGCATTTTCTTAGGTGCTTTAGACTCCATTTCTTTCGGCTGTCTGTCCTGGCTGTGTTTCTCGATGAAACGTTTAGTGTAACCGTTTTCCATAAGCGTTCTGGTAATAGTCCCCATCTTCTGAGCCAGACAATCCGTTGAACAAATTCGTCTGGTGCGGAAAAACATAGTCTCCAGCAGCGCACGTTTGTAACTCATTGGTGTGAAGCTCCTAAAGTGCAGGTATTGCCCTGAGCATGTCGGCTTTCGGTATACAGACCGCCTAATGAGCCCGATATCCCTTCGACTGATGAGCATGTACAGAAACGGAAGGCGATTATTTGACTCAAATTCATGAGTAACTTTGAAATTGGTATGGGCGCTGTTCAGCTGTCTGGCCAGGCATTCTATCTGCGTTCTTGAGGAACCGAACACGAATGTCATTAACATACCGCTTGTAGATAGGTAGTTGCGAAATCACCCCGCTCAGTTTTCTTTCAAGCATTACCATGAAAAAGTCGGCTAATACAGGCCCCCAGAGGACTACTTATAGACACTCCATCGATTTGATAATAAAAAGTCTGTTGGAAACGAAATCCGTGCACAACAACAAAGACTGCCTGAGTGGGTCTGTCTGTATTTGTACACTGACTTTTTCGAGCAATGGAACGTTTGTGAACAACGATTGCACTTCCATAGAGCACATGAGCTTGTCGGCTATGCTGATGTGATTGAGATCCTCAATGAGTGCGAGGGAATCCTTTGTCGACTGGACTGGAGCGACGCCCCATGATTGCGTCTGAGTGGAAACGACTACTGAAGGAAGATGAGAGAAGACTAAAAATTGGGTGTTGAAAACAGGAGCGAACAAAAGTGAAGTTGGAAGGGGTTGATGAAGATGCGCAGGAGAGAAAAGAATAAAACAAAAAGGCTTGAACTGTAGAATCCTTACCCTGATCCACTCTGTTTGATGTAGCAGATAGGGCGCCGTTGATTATCTTCTGCGACGGTCAGAACATCAATAAATCGTAATTGTCGGATGCGTGGCATTGTCCGTTCGATCGCAAGTCGCACAAACCACAAGCTGTTCGTGGTGACAGTTGGACTGTTACGGAGCAGATTAGAACGATCCGCACACGCATATTTGCTGGTCACGTTCCTCGTCGTTCACGTAGCGTATGGGTGAAGCGGCGCATGGACCAAGAAGAATTTCTTGATCCCAGTGTCTTAAAACATGAGCATTCTGGTCGTTTGGCTTGCAATCAAGTTGCGAAAACAAGAGATCGTGAAGTTTTTGATCTCACACAAATGATGGAGAACTAAGATCATTTCTGATTCGCTAAAACCAATAGCAAAGGTGTAAATGGTTTAGAGCTGCTCTGCTGCTCCGTGATTGGATTGTCCCACTATTTTGATCAACAAGTTGTCATGGTACCCACCTCTGTCAATTCGTGACCCGGAGCATGTTGCAACCATGATGCATATACTTGCCACGCAGAATAATAATAATAGAATAGCATGTCAGCTGTACGACGGAACGGCGCTTCGCTGCCGCGCCAACGCCACTAGTCGCGCGCGAGCTGAGTATACCGCGAGGACGCCCACCCCCACGCGGATTCGAAACGGTGACCTTATGGTTGCAAACCAAGCGCGCAGACCACTCGATCACCGACTGACCTAGTATTTCTGGCGAAGTTGAAGATGAGAGCCAGAGTTAAAAACACATTTGGGAATCGAAAGTGGGAGAGATGGGACTCGAGGTCAATAGAATGGAACGACAAATTCCTACAAACAGTGACGATTTAGGAGCGGGGTCATGGTGCGCATAATCAGTGTTACTACTAAACAGAGGAGAGCACCGAAAGTTCGCTACACACATGCATAATAAGAAGGAACTTGATGTGAGCAACATGAATAACCACGTACGTTGTGATACCAGGCCAACTATACTCGGAACTCAGGCAACTCACTTCATCCGAGTCCATGATCACTTCGGTACTTTCGTTCTCATTCGGCCAAAAAGATTGAATTCGTTTTTGCGCGGCATACAGCGTAAGCGCCAAAGTAATGGGGGTCGAAAAGAAAGTACGTGTGTCATCTTGTAAGTACAGTTCCCAGGCCACCTTAATCGCGGACTCCCATTCCTGTTGATCGATGAAGTGGTCTAGTAGTAGGTTAGCGGAAACAGTGTCAAGAAAAATTGCAGTCTCGGACTTGATTGAAAATTAGACAGGAAAAATGGGTCTCACTCGTTGACTAAGCAAACTCAGTAACTTGTCTGCATGATTGAGTCCAAGTAGACCGCGGATAAGGGCATGTGCAGTGGAATCGTTGATCTGGACAGCCGACTGCGTACGAGCATACCTAAACAAGTTGGAAGAAGTTTGGTGGATACTACTTTCTGATAACATTCTCCGCAAAGTCCAAAGAAGTGACATCCAACTCGTGCAGCTTGTTGACGAACTGCGCAAAATTGTAATCAACTAGGTAATACTCACGATATCATAATCAAATGGCGATACTGTCTGATTAGCATCGATGTCTCGTAGGAGAATGAGGCCTAGGTCTCCTTGGTACTTGATTTAAAAATGATGAAGCCTCACTTGGGGATGTACGTCCAAACACTTCGTGGCGAAGCCGCGAATCCCATAACTGGTTACAATGATATGTTTCAGGGAGAAAAGTTCGCTTTACGAACTGGTAAATCGGGACTATCAAAATCTGGATATATGAAATAGAGTTACATTTTCTAGACATCCGGATGATGGAAAATGCCCCAATAAGTCCAGACATGTTGCCCCTAATCAGAGCAAGCTGAAACCGAGATGGGAGAATGAAAGAGTAACCAACAGACATGAAGGGATAACGCACGACACTATGCATGTCCACCGGTTTATGTTCAAACTACCAAAGTGACAAATAAACATAATTGCAGCTCTAAATGAAAACTGGAATTGCAAAAAGGTGCTGACCATAAGGCAACCGTGACTACGGTGGGCATTTTCACCGGTAACCAAACTTCGTTCATCTTAAACAAGGCGTTTCTACAGGGACAAAGAGCGCTAATAGAGCAAGTCATCACAGAAAACCTGAAGCTATGACCGCAAGTTGGGCAAAAGCGACCCCAGTGTGGAGGTCGTGTATGTACTCATACGAAAAATTGAGTGTCTAACGAGAAGTGATATCACGGATGGTGTTAGTAATTGTATTTTTCTAATGGTTAATACATAAGAGGAACGCGGGAGACAACGGTATAGTGGCATATTCGACAATGGATGATAATGTATGCCTCCGCCCGTAGCCCTAAGGTATACAAGCCTGCAATGTAATCTGAGGGCGCGGGTTCGAGCTTGCGTAGCAACCAGGAGACACTCGCAGTATCCTTAGCCCACGTGTGACTATTGGTGCTTGCGTGGCAGCGAAGCGTCGGTACTGCTGACGCCCGCCCGAACACCATCACGCACCATGTGGCGTCAAGCATGCCAAAGTTCAAGGAGAAAGTAAGGAATTACTAGGTCAATTTCATTACTAGCAGAAATAGATTAGTAATGGGAAGCTGAAGGAACCCAGGAGAACGTCGATGGCTCTCGTAAAGTATCCCGACATTTCGCTATGGAACTTGACATGACCCCTGGTACACCTCAGAAAAGCACCATACCAGACAACTAAATGGAACAGCAGTGAGGGATCTACTGAACCAAACGAGCTCTTAAAGTCGATGAACACCGTGTGGTCGATATCTGGTATGCTTGATGCTACAATAGGAGGTAACGCAGAATCATCATCATAATACACGTTAGCAACAGCTGGGAAAAAAAACCTGTTATTGTACCGCAATACATAAGAAAAGAAACATGCAACAGAGGCACACTGGCTGAGACACAATTAACGGATGGACACCGTTCCGGGGAGCTACCAGCCGGCTACTATACAGCAAAAAATGATGGATATTACACCTAATAGATGAGATCGTGGTTGGAGGAACAGGCTAAGTAGGAAGGGGATGGATAAACTCAAAACACAAACGCCACTGTGGTCGGCTCCTCGCCAAGTCAAAAAGTGTACCCAGCAAAACGTGTTCAGTCCTTCGGACCACAACTAGGGAGCTGACGTGATGCAACCGAGGCCAACGTCGAAGTAAGGGCCTACGTTGTTCTCGACGAAGTCACCGTTTGATTACCCTTCCTCTTCTTCCATCGGCACCCAACGCGCAAAAACAGCGCATGTCGCGGGAGTCGATGGGCCAGCATGTGCAACACGTGGCCGAGCCATTCGGAGTTTGGAGCGTGAAATAACGGTGCTGAGCGGTTCGCTTCTTTTTCTTATGCCATAAACAAGGCACCGAGGGTACTCGTTGCTCACGCAGTGCTCCCAACAGATGTGAACCAAAATGCGGAGGCACCGGTGGTAGAACGTAACTAGTCTCTTTACGTCGGCTGATCTAAGAAGCCAGGTTTCACAACCTACAGCATGGTCGAACTACGGCTGCCTTGTACACTTTACTCTTCAGGGAGAGAATGATGGCGCGCCAGCGACAAACGTGGCGAAGGTTAGCAAAAGCGCCTCGAGCTTTTGCCATAGGGTCCGCGATCTCAATGGCGCTGATACAACTGCTGAGGTAGTTGAATTCTTAAACTACTTCCACTTGATGACCCACAAGGGTCAGCGCAGGAGGCGGTGCCTGACAATGTTGCAGGAAACATTTGCACTTCGAGGGTGCAAAGCATGGCCCGAATCGGTTGACAGTCAGTGTTACTCTGTCCAGAACCGTTTGGCACATTTGTGAGATGTCACAGATAAGGGCGATATCGTCAGCACACTCCAAGTCTAAAAGTCGTTCGCCTGGGAGCTGCTCCACACTTATAACGTGTCTTGTGAATGCGAGTTCCATGACTTCGTCAATAGCGAAGTTGAAGAGGAAGGGTGACGCGGGCATCCTTGTTTTGATCGCTGAAGATAATGAAAGGTGACGGCAGCTTGCCGTAAGCCCTCACTCTGCCCAAGCTATGCGCGTAAAGCGCTCGCATAATATTTACATATTTCTCGGACACACCTTTCCTTAGCACTTAACGTAGTGTTGAGATATCATCCATTTATATTGATATCGACCAGAAAACTGCCTGCCTTTCACCTGGAGGAGAAGTGACCAAATATCCTGTGATTATGTTTTAAACTGGCACTATTGTATTTAGCGCGATGTTTCTACTGTCGTTCTTGAACGTTGCCACCATGGTCGATCGAAAAAAGTGTCGACACCTGACCGAGGATCTCATCAGAAGGCAGGGGCATCAGCAGACGGTACGCAGTGCCGACGTTCCGCTGCCGCGAAACCACCACCGGTCGCACGTGAGTTAATACTGCGGAAGTCGTCCGGTCCCTATGCAGACTCGAACTCGCGCCTTCAGTCAAGCTTGTGATCCTTAAGCCTACGAGCACGAGCGAATTCGGGTTACTAGAGAGGAGACGGTTGAGGACTGGTAAAAACATTTCAGACAAACTCGGTAAGAAATTCCACAATAGTTAGGCACGGTTCAAACCGCGACACCTGAGTACGTAGTGGTTGGAAAGCAGGAGACCAACTGGACTGCTCCTGAAAATGATCTGACCAACAAACTATGCGGCCTTCATTACCATGAACTGGATGCCGATGCTATTAACGGCGTTACTAGCAAATCAGTAGCTGGACCCAGTTGTGCGGATTGCTTGGAGGAGTCCCAGAAGTTACCCACTTCTCCTGCCTCCTTCATTTTGAGTCAGCCTAATTCACTTTCCAGTTCCCAAGCTCCATATCGCAGTGCGTATGGTAGCCATTTCGGTCGCATTAAGACAATGAGCCTCTCAGCATTGTTATTTCACCAGTCTCCGATAGCTGGGCCACGTGTTGCACATACCAGCACACTGATTCCCGCGACGTTCGTCGTGTACGAGATCGGAGTGTGGAAGAAAGAAAAGGAGAGGGCAAACGATGACTTGGTGAAGAACTACGATGTCCCTCACTTCGAAGTTGTTATGCCGAAACGAAACCAAAAAGTACGAGTGTGTAGTTATTCACGTAAACTGCAAGTACCATTGTAAGGCAAAAAGGGAGCGCAAGGCATTCGAAGTCACATGAACACAGGATCGTTACCAATCAATGGTCACGGCAGACGGCCAATAGACGTAGTACACACACATGAACGCACGCACGTGGTGAGCCTCTCGCGAGGCATATCGGGCTTCCCCTCTGTGATTTGAGCTATCCAGCCTGGAATCGAACCACCGATCGGCGTTGGCGCGTAGACCGACGAAGGCACTTGGTTCGGTGGTTCAGCATCGGCCATTTGTGAATCGATCAGCTCTGGTGCCTGGATTCCCGACTGACCGGTTGTTACTACACCCGACAGTCTCGGACGCAAGTAATCAAAGTGGCGTCTGACAACCTTGACATTCTCAGGTTTTGATTCAAAGATTTTCCCGTTGGCTGTTTTAACAATGGCCGGTTGACACCCGGAATCTGTAGGTAAACGGATATAGACGGGTTCAAGTTCTTCTACGAGCCTGTCTTTGCTGCCGATATTATATATGGTTGACGGCATCCGGTTTCGGATTTGCCTGTCACTGTGACCAGCCACAGGACACCTGCGCCTACAGAGGGACCATGGGTGGCTTGCGCTGCACCACCCACAGCTCCAACCACACACCCTATATCCAGTGTAAACCCAAAGGAATAAGACCGGGAGGCATGTGGATGGGAGCCACGTTTCATCAACGGAGTCGGCCCACACTCCTTCACAGGCAAACACAAGCACACTGTATTTGGGGAATCAATCGCACACAAGGCGGTGGCTGGACCGTAGTCCGCTCCACACTGAGTGCATGGAAGTAACCTTTGATCCTAACACGGGCACAAGGACCGTGCACCCCGCCCCCTCCAGCAACGACCAACTGTTTCCTGGAGCCAGTATGGACGAGGTAGTAGGTAATAGGCAGGTAGGCACCTTGTCAACATGCACATCAAGTGCAGTCACACCAGGGATATCAAGCAACAGCCACTTACTTGAGAGAAAGATAGCAAAAAATATAAATCGAGTAATGCATACGGAAAGGGTGACATATATCTTAAAGTAATGAGCATATGAAGTAAGTTGTTTACAGAAGAATGCGAGATAAGTTCACGAGGTCAGAAAGTATACTTTACGGAAATGTCACAAACATGAAAATGTTATCGAAATTAACTACGATTGACTTAAGCGACGTGTGCAAGTTTATAGAAGAGAGTAAGGGTAGACATTTATATGAGAAAGCAAAGCATTAGGACAGCATTGAAAACCAACCACCTGAAACAAACAGACTTAGCACGTAAGCAAACGGTGACATAAATCTCAAATAAATGAGCATATGAAATACGTTGTTTACAAACGAATCCGAGGTAAGTTCACGAGGTCAAGAGGTTTATTTTACGGAAATGCTACAAACACGAAGATGTTATCGAAATAACTACAAGTGGCTTAAGCGACGTGTGCAAGAGCATAGAAGAGAGTATAACTAGGCATTTATATGGGAAAGAAACGCATTACGGCAAAATTGAAAACCAACCACCTGAAATAAAGAGACCTAGCATGTAAGCATGCTGTTAGTAAACCGAATGCAGCGTACCTACAAACGCTACGCCGGATCTGCCTACGTTCTCTGCAGGACCCGTCGTCGCTTCGGTGGTGGCCCCGAGTGGCCTCGCTCATGGCTCACTAAGGCTGCCTGACTCAGGCACTCGCGACCGCATGTGCTACAGCACCATGCGCTCGATGTCGATGGAGTACAACC